TGTGTGTGTGTGTGTGTGTGTGTGTGTGTGTGTGTGTGTGTGTGTGTGTGTATGTGAACTTTATGTCAACTTGTCTTGCCGCTGACCCAAGCAGACACCGCCACAAACCTGAATGTGTCTCTAGAGGAGCCTCTGCATTGATGTTTTATGTCAGCACTGACGCCTAATTGTCGGGGATTGAGGTTAATCCTAGCACCATTATGTGGCGTCGGTGGTCGAGTGGATAGGTTACCGGGCTCGTAATCGTGAGGTTGTGGTGTCGGTGGTCTAGTGGTTAGGCTACCGGACTCGTAATCGTGAGGTTGTGGTGTCGGTGGTCTAGTGGTTAGGCTACCGGACTCGTAATCGTGAGGTTGTGGTGTCGGTGGTCTAGTGGTTAGGCTACCGGACTCGTAATCGTGAGGTTGTGATGTCGGTGGTCTAGTGGTTAGGCTACCGGACTCCTAATCGTAAGGTTGCGGGTTCGGGGGTTCGAGCCGCGGGCCCGACTTTGTGTCCTTGGGAAAGGCACTTTACACGAATTTTCCCCACTTCACCCAGGAGAAAAAGGGTACCCAGCTATAGACAGTGGAAGATCTTGTCAGTTTGTTAGTGTTTGAGGGCTTAACCAGCTGCTTGCACTGTATGCTTCCCGGGAAGCTGAGAATGTTTCTGGGTGTTCTATGGTCTGCTGAGGTAATAATTTAGTGTAAAGCCCATAGAGCTTGCTTTCGAGCGGGTACATGCGCTATACAGAACGCTATTTATTTATTATTTTCCAGCTAACAGCAGTTGTGTTTGTGACTATCTGGTTAGAGAAATAAGAACAGTGTTGGGGTTGTTCAGTACATCATAATCCCTGTAGCGGGAATCGTTGAATGCTTGAGGAGAGGAATGCCCAAACTTTATTTTTAAAATTACATCTTGAAATTTTTTGGGGAAAAAGGGAAACTTAGATTTAAAATTTTGTCTTCTCTTCGGCTGTTTTTTTGTTTCATGAATTGCATTTTATTTCCTGCTTTTGTATGAAGACTGCATCTGGTAAAAGGCTATAAAAAGAAGATGTTTTACTGATACTAATACTTTTCTTTCACGAGGTCTCATGGCCGTCTGCCCTAGGGTCGCTGTAAATACGGCACAATCATGTGGCTGTGGACATTTTATTTTCTTTCTTTTTTAAAAAGTTTTATTTCATTAAACAAAACCCTTACTAAAACAAAACTTTCTTTGACAGATAATTCAACAGACTAACGAGACAACAACCGAAATATATCACAACCCCCCACCCCCCTTCCCCAAGCACACTCGTTTTCCCTCAGTTTCCAAATATTAATCTCTTGTCGGATTTCCTAACGAAACACAATTTAATGTACTCAAATTGTACTTTCCTTGCCAGAATTGGTCTCATTCACCACAGACAGCAGAAGCCACATTAAATCATCTTGATTCTTATTCCTTCTCTTTGTACTTTAAGAATTGAATGTTCTCCCATGTAGTCATGTAGGCCATCGTCTGACATTGACGGACGGAGTAGGAAAATGAATGACCTGAATGTGATTGTGGCACATTTTCATTCCACAAGAGTTAATGTGCTGTGTGTGTCTGTTCCACAAGAGTTAATGTGCTGTGTGTGACTGTTCCACAAGAGTTAATGTGCTGCGTTTGACTGTTCCACAAGAGTTAATGTGCTGTGTGTGTCTGTTCAACAAGGGTTAATGTTATCTGTGACTGTTTCACTCCACAAGGGTTAATGTTATCTGTGACTGTTTCACTCCACAAGGGTTAATGTTACCTGTGACTGTTCCCCAGGGTGAGAAGTATGACGGTCGGAAGGCAGATGTCTGGAGCTGTGGTGTGATCCTGTACGCCCTTCTCGTGGTGAGTACCGCGCGCACGTACCCCTCTCGGTGTTACACCACTGAGCTCTGGTCATCCGTGCAAGGGAACAGGGCCATTAGTGAGTGGGTGGTTGGCAGGTGCTCTGTTGTGGTTTGTTCCTTCTTTCTTATCGTACATCTATCGTCCGTATCTTTCCTTCGTTTTTTTGTTGGGTTTTTTTTTTCGTACGTTAGTCCCCAGTAACACCTCCAATCTTCGGCACTTATATGACGCATTAATTTTTTATTTTTTTTGTAAAGTGTTTTACGGCGCTCGCAACTGCATAAAGGTCATATGAGTGCGCGGGACACATCTAATATGTTCAGTTGGTAGGAAATTTTGAATTTTGCCCGGTTGGCGGCCGAAACCTACTCTTATCGATTTTAGACCACCAAGGGATCTTTAACGTGCGCAACTTGCACACGGGCCATCCGAAATTTTTCACCCTTGTCCGAGAAGGCTAGGTGTAGATCTTTCCTACCAGAAGATCAGGGGTGTGGCAGAAAGACAGTAGTAAGGAGGAGCCAAGGAGTAGCAGTAGAAAGGCTGCAGAAAGAGTCAGGAGCCCAGAGGAGGGGGCAAAGGAGGTGAGGGGGTGGGGGCAGAAAGTGGAAATGAAAGCAGACAACAGAACATTCCTAGAGAGCAGGAAATGAGGTAAAAGGAGGCAATTTTAGAGAAGAAAATTTTTCGGTCGCCACCCGGATTCGAACCCGGGACCTTTGAATGAGAGGCCAACACCTTAACCTCTAGGCCACGAGAGCCCCCTGACGCATTAATTTGTGTTGAAGTGCCGTAAAACTGTTACTGAAACTTTTTTAAAAAACATGCAAAAATACTAAACGTCTGTTCCTTTCTTGTTACAACTCTAATCTTCGGACGGCATTTATGCGATCTACTTGTGTTGCAAGTGCCGTGAAAAGCATACTCATCATCTTCCATTGCCAGATCTGCAACAGACACCGGCGATCATGGTTCTCCATTCATTCCTTTGCTCGGATTCTCTTTAAAAAAGCCACGTTTCCCTGATCTTTCCCTGTTATTACCCATTTGTTTAGGTTCCCTAAGTAGGTTGCTCTGGGCCTACCCCTGCCTCGTTTGCCTTCAATTTTGCCAGTGAGAGCTAGATGTTCAAGACCTTTATGTCTATTCAGGTGTCCCAAAATCTGCATAATTTGTCGTTTCCTAATGGGTTTTGACATTTAGCGTCCCACGTACTACCTCATTTGATTTCTTTTCCTTCCACGATATTCTCAGCAGTCTCTACTAAAAAAAACACATTTGGTCGCTTTTAAGCACAAGGGGGCTATCCCGAAAAATGTTGTTTTGGAGAAAATCGAAGGTAAAGTTTTTGGACCCTTGTTCAGTTTCTTTAAAAGACAAGGAGAGTTTTCTCTATAACCAAACAAATATACACACCGATGAAACTAAATGTGTTGATGGTTGGCGGGTGCTCTGGTGTGGTTTGCTTCTTCTTTCATATCAAACATCTATCGTCCTTATCTCCCCTCCTTCTTTTTTATTTTTGTTACTCTCTTATAATGCCTCTAATCTTCTGGCGCTCATATGACCTTATGCAGTTGCGAGCGCGTAAAACCTCTTCAAAAACAAACGAAGCCAAACCTCTCCTATAGGTAGGCCAATGCCCACTTATGGTGTAGGTCAAGATTTCTGGAAACCCCCGAAATCTGGGTTAGCCCGCTTGTCCTTCAAAGCGACCATTGTTTGTTGCTTTAAATGCTTACTCAGACAGAATCAGGAAGGTAAACTTGTGACACTTTCCACAGGGCGCTCTTCCATTCGACGACGACAATTTGAGGCAGCTGCTGGAAAAGGTCAAAAAAGGCGTATTTCACATTCCGCACTTTGTTCCCATGGACTGTCAGAATCTACTGAGAGGCATGATAGAGGTGGACTCCGAGAAAAGATTAACGGTATGGTGTATGGTGTGCAGTTTTTGGTTTGTTTGGTAATTATTGTTGTTGTTTTGTTTCTTGTATTTTGTTTGTTGTTGTTGGGGGGTTTTTTTGGGGGGATGGGGGGTATCGTTTGTTTCTTTGGTTGGGTGGTTGGTTGGTTGGTTGATTTTTTGGGGGGTGTTTAAAGTTTTTGTCTAACTTTTATTTTGAGTTGGGGTTCTTGCATCGTATGTTGTTGTTGTTGTTGTTGTGTGTGTGTGTGTGTGTGTGTGTGTGTGTGTGTGTGTAAGAGTGTGCTCTTCGCCAGGGCCACCGCCTCCCTTGGGTAGCGGGTGAGGCAGTCCAACCTCCCTGAATCCCTCCCGAAGAGATGCCACCGCCTGTTGTTGTTGTTGTTGTTGTTGTTGTTGTTGTTGTTGTTGTTGTTGTTGTTGTTGTTGTTGTTGTTGTTGTTGATTATCAAAGATATTTTTACTCAAAGAAGATAATGCCCATTGGTATACATATAACCGAATCTTTAAGATGACATAGTAAAGTCAGGCTTTCGTCAACAACAAAAAATAATCGAAGAAACCTGCATTTTCCCTCGGGGTACATGTATTGAGATATTCGAAGAGTTGTAGTTGAAAAAGCCTAATAAGTTGAGAAACTCAAAATGTGTTTTAACGTCAAATTTCTCAAAACTAGGTGGACTTGAGCAAACAGGACTTAGTGACTCTAGTGTAGCAGTTTACAGTTATGTTCTAGTGTAGCAGTTTACAGTCATGTTCTAGTGTAGCAGTTTACAGTTATGTTCTAGGGTAGCAGTTTACAGTTATGTTCTAGCAGTTTACAGTTATGTTCTAGGGTAGCAGTTTACAGTTATGTTCTAGGGTAGCAGTTTACAGTTATGTTCTAGTGTAGCAGTTTACAGTTATGTTCTAGGGTAGCAGTTTACAGTTATGTTCAAGGGTAGCAGTTTACAGTACGTTCTAGGGTAGCAGTTTACAGTTACATTCTAAGGAGTGGGTGTTTGGCGGGTGCTCTGGTGTGGTTTGCTTCTTCTTTCCTATCAAACAACTATCGTCCTTATCTCCCCCTTCTTCTTTTTTATATTTGTTACCCTCTTGTAACACCTTTAATCTGCTGGCGTTCATATGACCGTATGCAGTTGTTTTACTAAAACTAAAACTGATTGTAGGGTGGCAGTTTACAGTTACATTCTATGGTAACAGTTTACAGGTGTTACCATCATTCTCATGATAATTAGAAACTCAAAGTCTATTGCTTGTTTCTTGTTCTTTTTTTTCAGCTGGAAGAAGTGATGCGACACGGCTGGGTGCTAGTGTAAGTAAACATTTCTCTGCTCACGGCGTTCGTGATCTTCACATTTATTGTTATATAGTTAAAGGCATTGTGCAGAGATATCTTAACTAATAATCTGAGTACTTACAATGAGTGGCTATTGATATGATCTATTTGAAGAGTTAAAAGTTCGATTTCCAGCCTTTGTCTTTTCTGTAAACAAATAGTCTGAAAAATTCCCTCCTCTTCCTCTTCCCCATCCTCCTTTCCACCATTCCCCTTCTTCCTCCTTCTCTTCCTCCTCCTCCTCCTCCTCTTCCTCCTCCACTCTCGGTAGAAATTTTTCAACATTTAATTTGACTTATTCTATTAATGTATATATACAGGGTGATCAAAAAAAAACTTTACAACTTTTTTTCTGAATATCTCGCGCAAAAATTGTTCTAGAACGCTGTAATTTGGAACAGACATAATTCATTCAAAAGGAATTTGTTTGATATAAAATCCACGAAGAAGAAACTTATTTTGAAAATGGGAACGGTTTTTAAAAAAGCACCCAAAAACACAAAGTTCACCAATGTTTAAAAATCTTTTAAAGGAAGTCGTGAAAAGATTAGCTGACCGTTTTCTTTATTTTCTCTTTGACTTTAATTTTTCCATCCCTGTGACATCTAAACAATATTTAATTTCGTTTGCAGAGTTTAAAAAAACTGAATGATTTCATTTTGCAATTCCTAGACGCAGTGCTCCACATTCCCAACTTTGGACTCGACACAATTTAACGCGTCGTTCGAAATGTTCAGTGGCGCCCTAACACAAGGACCTGTTAAACCATGAGTCTTTAAAGCCACATACACTGCACATGTTCACTAAGAAGTGGCTTCTAGAGACAATAGAGTGGGGTGCCCAATAGACAGCATTTTTGGAGTTAACATATCCTGCAGGGTGAAAATGGGCTTTGCACTAAACCAAAAGTCATCGAGGAAATGATCCCTCTTTACTAGACAATCGAGGTATCATGAACACATTGCCATGCTCTGATTCATGTCATCTAATCGAGGAATCATGAACACATTAGTATGCTCTGATCCATGTCATCTCGGCCTTACGCAGATGAACATGGTATAGTCGTAGGTTAAGATTTGCCATGAGGATGCAGACTGTTGATGTGTAGGAAAGTCCTAGCTGCAGATCGTCTATGGACAGACGTCTCATGGGACTCGGCTACTGAAATCTGCACTCTGGTGACGTTTAAAGGGCTGCGCATGGTGCGCGTTCGACCTGAAGAGGTCATTTTTTAAAGAACTTTTGAGCTTTGATTCGCTATAGATCCAAACTGACAGAACTTCTCAACTCATGACGCCAAAGATTTTGAGGGCACCTAAGCATTCTCTCCATGCCGTGCGCAGAACTTACGAACTTTCAGGGATGGTGAGTGTGTGGAGAGGTAATGTTCAATATAAAAAGCTCTCTGCTCTTTACTAAATGTAGCCATGATCTCAGAAGGCAAACACAATTTGGGAAAAATAATATCTGTAGACTTCTGTTGACTTGTTAGACTGCTGTAGCTTGCAATATGGTGCGATTGTTGCAGCTTTTAGAGGTAGGCCTAATGCAAACTGGTGCGTCATGCTATGAAAATGGCGACAAGGTTGAAATTGGGTTGCTTTTTTAATGCACTTTATAGAGCAAAACTATTCAATGGACTTATCTAAAATACATATCAGAAAAATTCCTTTTGGCTTTCAAACGTTATGTTCAAATCTGAAACGCAAGACTTCAGTATTGGGGAAGATATTTACAAAACAAGTTGTAACGTGTTTTTTTTGGATTACCCTGTATATAGCCATTATTTCCAGCAAGAACATAGATATCTAGTATTGCATTCCTTGTCCTCTGGGCAGATGCAAGCTATTTTTTAAGTTTTAGTCTTTTTAGGAGTAGTTTGCGATTACTTGCCATCGTCTTAATGAACTTGATACATAGCTGTTCTTACGCCCCCATCTGTGCAATTTAGGTCATTTAGGAGGCGGGCCTCAGACGCTCTTTGTCAACTTCTTGGGCATGGATGTCTTTTAACAACTGTCCTTTTCTAATACGACAAAAACTAAAGTTTAGAGCTCGTGGAATCTCAGACTTTTCCGTGTGAATCCAAGAGGCCTCTGCCCTTGATTTCATGTACTTCAACTTTATCAGAAGAGTGAGAGAGAAAATGAAAAGCTGACTTTCTACCATATACCATCTATGACGAAGTTGGAATCGAACCAAATCCCTGCACGAGAATGGAGGAATGCTACACTTTTACGAAAGCGTCTATGTTAAGAAGCCTTCACCTTGTTCGCAAGTCGACAGAACAGTTTCTGTAGTCCCGCAGAACATGGATTCTTGTTATTCCTCCAATGAAAATTGACCTAGTTTTCTGCTTTGCATAATGTAAGCATTAATCTGATACAAATGGCCATGTTAGAGGAAATCTGAAATGATTTTTGCTTCAATTGATACAACTTTTAATATTGCTATCTTTGAGGTTCTGTTAGGTCAGTTTGTTTAAGGATGTTGTTGGTTGTGGGTTGTTGTTTTTTTGTGTTTTTTTTTGGGGGGTGGTTGTTTTGAATTTTGTTTGGTTCGGATTTTACGTAAAAAGGCAGAGAGGCCCGGGGGAAGGGGAGGGGTGGGGGGTATATCGATTGTGTTTATGACGATATTTAAAAAAGTGTGACACCACTGATGGTATGATGCCAATGCTGTTGGCTTTTGATAATAACGACAATTATTCTTGTTTGATTTTTTTTTTCAGAATTCCTTTTATCTAACCTGTTTTGTCTTCTTCTATTGATCTGTTTGCGTGACCTACTTTCGATGCCTGTTCATGGAAAGCCAATACTTTTGTTGTTTGTTATCGTCTGTTGCCGATCTTTTTTCTCTCCTGATTATTTTTCTACCGGGCTAATCTGATCAATGTCGACAGCGGTCGTTGTTGTTGTTTCTGTTTTTCCTTTACTACTGAAAGAGGTAGCCTCATTGCCAAGCGTTTTTCGTAATTACGAATAGGATCAACATAACTGGCGACCAATTTGCAAAAGTGATTGACCTAATTTGCCAGACTCACATACAGAATGGAGGACCTATGATATGAAATCACATTATTCTCTGAGCCATGAATGTGATACCTTTTTTGTTTTGTGGTCTCAAGTTTTGTTTTGTTATCTTTGTGTTGAGTCGAGTCGAGTTGTCCCTGTATGTCCCTGCCAATGCTGACCTCTATGCCTCCACTTATAGGGGCTCTAAACAGGACCTAGAGGCCGAGTTACCCATGATGCAAATTGTTCAGGTAATAGAGCCCTGGCCTGCCCATGTGATCCCCGACTAACTACAACAACAACAACAGTAGAACGTAGCTGCACTGGCGTACCGTGGTCTCCATGAATATGTCGTGTCCTAGTGTTGTGACCACGCCCCCCTCGTGTCTTGTCCGCCTGTCTGATTGGCTGATAGTTTGCTGACGCCGCCTCGTTATGGCTTGCCGCCACGCCCACTTTACTTTGTGGTTGTTGTTGTTGTTGTTGTTGTTGTTGTTGTTGTTGTTGTTGTTGTTGTTGTTTCTGTTTCTGTTGTTGTTGTTGTCTTGTGCTCACCTGTGGAGTAGACGTTACAAAGTGTGTGTGATCTACTGTGTAACCCCTTGTCTGTAGTTTTGTGACGTAGTAATATGCAGATCGCATTGTTGCGTTTTGATTGGTTATCTATTTTTAGTTCCATTTAAGTTTTTGTACATATTTTCCCTTAGACTAGTGCTAGGACACCTCTCCTCGCTGTCAGTAGATCTAGTACTTTTCTATCCCCTTTCTTTCTGAGGAAAGATTCAGCCTTTTGTTTCGGGATCCAGTTTGGATTAGCTTAGAAGTATTCCCTATGCTTGGGATTTGTGTTTTTAATTAAGAAAATTGGCGCTCATGTGACCTTATGCAGTTGTGAGCGCCTTAAAACCTTACTAAAACAAAAACAATATTTATTTTTTTAAATCGCAATAAATTGTCGGTAGATTTTTCAGAAGCATTGATGTGTATCTTGTTTGCATAGAGGCATGAAGTGATGGCAGTGCAAGTAGACTATACGTGTGGGTGCTTAAAGAATTGAATGAAAGATTAGACAGGAGATGGGAATCAAGGAGAAAAGAGGGAGTTATAGGGTCGGGTGTGAGGGGGGGGGGGGGGCAGTGGGCGGGGCGGGGCGGGGGGGGGAGGCAAAAGCAATGACTGCTTCTTTAGCAAGGACAACATAAGCAGTAACTTACAATTAATGACGACAGAGAGTTTTACAAAAGGTATGAATATTGAAGTGTGCTGACAAAATGAGTTACTTCTCGGATCTAAGCCTTATGACAACAGATACATCGCGCTTATAGGTAGGAGAAGTTTTTACAATTTATAAGTATGAAATAATAAAAGGCACGTAAGGAATGTGGCATCAGTAGAAAATCTACTAATCTGACCCTATAGTGTCGACTTTTGGCCGATATTTCCGTTTGTGGATTGCGAGAAGTTACTCATTTTGTCAGCATGCCTCACATATAAGCAACACGTATGTTTTGTTGTTGTTGTTGTTGTTGTTTTTAAATTACTATGTAGTATTTCCTGCCAATGCATTTGTCTCTAGTCTTTTTGGTAAACAATTACATAGAGCAGTTTGCTGTAGCGTTCTCTACCACACACATCGATTGTACTTTTCAAGAGAGCGTACATAACCTTCAAAATCACACGTTTTGGTTACTTTTGAGAAGCACGCCAGTGAAATGTCAACGTGACAATTATCCTGAAGGTTTGTCCAATTTTACGCCATCTGAAAGCTCAAAATCCATCGTTTTGTACACACAATTCGAACATCAGTAGAAGGGACTGGCCACGTGAGAACCTTTAACTTTAAGCTACTTGTTCAACACTTTTGATTCGTGTCAACTTGTTGACTATTGACTTTTCTCCATTCTTTCAAATAAAATACTTGGCTGCTTGGTGAAATCAAGTTCTCGTCAAAATAATGAAGTCGACAAAACTTAAAATAATATTATTGTTTCCACCTGTGTGGAAATTTTCTGACGATTTTTTTGTTTGGATTTTTTTTTTTTGGGGGGGGGGGTTTATGTCCGTGTTTTTAAAAAAAAAACTGGTTTCTGTGAGCGTTTACCTGAAAATTGTCTACCAAAGGCTATATCCATCCACAGACTTATTGGCTATTGACGTCAGCACTTTTTAAGGCCATTTTCCCGTTAAATTTATCTCAAACACTCGACGACCCCCCCCCCCCCCCACTTCTTTCAGATCACAAATTTATCGACTTCTGCTCGAGACAGATGGATATTTCTTTTCATCAAACGGTCGACAACTGAACAAGCTTAAAGAAAAAACCAATAACTCCCTATTTCATGCCCCCAAAATAAGTGACGAGCGCCTGATTCCAGCCCGCCGCAATCCCAAAATTATGTTTGTGGACCCCTCTGTGCCCCTGTGGGTGGTAGCCTGCTATCTTTGTACACAGGGGCAGCGGACAGAGGGGACAACTGGGGGGGGGGGAGTTTTGGTTCACAGTTTTGCTTTGGTGTTGTATTGTTTATTGTGGGGTTATTATTTATTTTTTGGTTGGGGGGGGGGGGGTGTTTGTTTGTTTTTTAGAGGGAGGGTGTTATTTTGTTTTGATTCCTTTTCCGATAAACTGTTCAAAAAACTGTTGTTGTTGGGGTTTTTTGTACGTGTTTTACGACGCTCGCAATTGCATAAGGTCATATCAGCGCGGAGGACACGTTAAACATTTTCAGTTGGTAGGAAATTTTTGAAGTTTGCCCGGGTGGCGGCCGAAGCCAACTCAGATAAACTGTTGAACAAACTTTGTCCTAGGGTGTAGAACGAATGTCTCTGATTAGCACTAGCTTGTACTGTTCACAATTATTTACTCTAACCTGCCTTGTTGCAAGAGGTTGGAGGTCGCCACTGGTATAATTTGTCCTACTTCTTTACTTTCCCTCTGTGGTTTCTGTCTTTCTATCTGTCTGTCTATCTGTCTGTCTTACTTTATACCAGCACTAAATGACAATTTTTTCTGTCGACGTGCTTCTCTTTCCTCAAACAAACAACACATATGTCTTGTCAGGAAGTTTTTGTGATTGTTCAATGGCTCGGAATTATTTGTGGTGTTGGAATTTCTGGTAACTTCAGTCTTCAGAGCTGGAGATTTGGAAGTCCAGACTTCAGACTAGGCCGTATCTATCTATCTATCTATCTATCTATCTATCTATCTATCTATCTATCTATCTATCCATCTATCCATCTATCTATCCATCTATCTATCTTATGGCCTGGTTACACGTAACGATAAATTGTATCAGATTCGTCGTATGCGAGAACTGTCCGTTTTATCGAGCTGTGTAGTCTGTTTAGACATTCCAATATATCGTCTAGTTTTCTTTCGATCAGGGAGATTCCTAGTCATTGACTTGACTGCAGATGTGCAACGCACCGGGTGACCTTGATACACAACTTTTACCATTGACGATCAACTAAATAATCAAATTGCTAAAATATACATAATAACGCATCAAATCAGGTTCTTTGCGAGTATGTCTGCTTCTTTTGAGACGCTGATTCCGAATGTGAAATCAGTTTTTACCTGCAATTATTTTTTTTTATTTTTTTTTTAGCTCTAAGTTTAATCTTGCGCGGCGGCAAATTCAAAAGTGATTCTACGTCGCACCGCGTCTCCCAGAAATCTGACCGTGATCGCAAGGAAAATATCAAACAGCGCTTGATTTCTCGACGATTTGTCTCATGATCGATAGATTGCCCAGTTTTTGTATAATTTATCGTTGCGTGTAACCGGGGCTGAACTATCTATCTTAATCTATTGATCTATGTCTGTTTTCTGAGCTTGATTGTCTGTCATTTTCCCTTTCTATACGTCTGTTGTTCTTCAGTTAGCCTCATGACACAGAACATGTGTCCTTATTCCTTGTCTTCAAATGCGTCTTTACTTTGTGTTTGTTAATATTATTATAGATCTACCTCCTCCCACCCCCCACCCCCAAAGCAGTTCTTTATTATCAGTCGGAAGTTATCTCTTCACCTGTCAGTGGGTGCATGTTTACATGTTTGTGTGTTTTTATGTGTCCTCTTGTGTGCGTATGTGTGTGTGTGGGTTTTTTGTTTCTGTGTCTACTTGTTTGCGTATGTGTGTGTGTGTGTGTGTGTATGTTTGTATGTATGTGGGTTT